TTATTTTTACTAAATAATAATTCTGAGAAGAAAGAGAGAGGTATTGGTCACAGGAAGCCAATTAGAATCTAGCACGAGTTAATTATGAAAAAAAACAAACAAAAATTTAAAATGTATTTTCACTGATACAAGGCAAAAGTAAGAATTCATCTGATATCCTGGATACTGGTTTGGTATATTCAAGAGAGATGCAGGTTGAGATGACTAAGATGATACAGACAGATATCCCTGTCTTGAAAGCAGGAATTCCAAAATGCCTTGGCTTATTTGCCATCGCAAGTAAAGAGTAAGGATATGATTACTGAAGGACTACAAGGTCCTTCTCAGCATAAGAAAAGCTATAAACTGGAATACATGTACATCAGAAATTAAAAGAATGAGTGAGGTTCTGGAAGATGATAGTAATAGGAATACTATGAGCAAAAAACACTACTAGTTTCTAATTCTGTAGATTTTGTATAAAAACTCAAGGTGCAGGAGACGAGATACAGGCTTGACATCCCCAGAGTTTTTTTCATAGTGCACTGTCTTCAGTTTGATCAGAATTTCATAGGATGGGACTAATCCTACAAACATGTATCAATAAACCTGTGTTCATTAAAGTATTCTCATTCTAAAATCAGTTTATCACTTATTTATTTATAGGCACGTTTACATATTTTACTTAGTATTCCCAAGCTTAAATGAGGGGTTCTGAATAATAAAGGAGCAAACATAGATGTCATCCTTCATTAGGTAAGAATTTAGTATTGTGAATAATTCATTGGTTAACATTAAATATGGTTTTAAATGTCTCAACGATTGGGGTTAAGGATTGTATAATCCCTAAAAAATCCTACAACCCCCCCAAAATTAGAAAATAAATATTTATTCATAATACAGCTAGATATTTATACTCGTTCATCATTAAGAATTTGATTTTGTACAACACTTTAGAATTTAGGGTAACCCAAATAACCTATGAAATAATAGAAAGCAGATGCTAAAACCGTGATTATGAGATAATGAGCATTTCTCAAGACTGCAGAAGAGACTTCCACAAAAGCACTATACTCCTGCATGAGCGATCTTTCCCTCCATTGCTACTAGATAACGCTCAAAGGGCAAAACTATTTGAACATTAAAAACTTTATGTTAACTTCTGAAGTTCATTAACACTTACTCCAGTTATTTTGATAAAAATTGCATCATAAAGTCTCATGAAAGTAGAGGCTTTCTTTCAAATGTACATATGCATATATCTTGAAAACGTAATGTTTCTAATGTGTTACTATTCTGCCTTCTCACTAAAAACTGACAGATGAGAAGTTGAAAAAATAAGACTTTAAAATGTCAAGTAAGTTTGCTTCTTGTTTTTTCCATGTAATATATTTACCTCAGTTGTTGTTGTTACTGGTTCTTTGCCCATCTCTATTTTAATAAGTTTTTCATATGATTCATTTTCCAAGACACTAACTTTATGATTTTTTTTTTTTTCCTACATGTCATAATGTCTTTCCATAGGAGAGCAGAAAAAGACAGGGGAAACCTAGAAAAGTAACACAATCTCCAGCTGTAAATACGTCTTCCTTTTCTGGAAGCCTACAATCTCAGCCCTGGGACTGGGACTCAAGTGTACCATGATCTCTTTGTACTGGCTGAAGACCAGAACAATCACAAAAGCAATAACCCTGGATTCTACTCTGGCAGCTTACCCAAAGTACCACAACAAAATAGAAGAGGAAGTTAAAAAAGTAAACAAGAAAAGAAATATCATCCACTAAAGTAGTAGCAAATAAAAGTTCCCAAGTGATTGTGCTGAAGCTTGATGAGCTTGGCATTTTAATGGCTGATGTTTTACTGAAATAAAAATGATTAATGACAGACCTAACCTTGAGGAAATAGAAAGCCAGACATTACAGTTTTCTTCAGAGAAATGCATTAGTAATTTGTAATAATTTGCATAATCTAATGAAACACAAAATAAAGATTGGTGAAAAAAACTGCATTCAGCATTATATTAATCTCTGTATTAAATAAAACAGTATTGACTGAGTGAACATTTCGCAACACAATTAGAAAAAAGAACCAGAAACATAGGAATATATTTTTCAAAAAAAGCAAATTATTTTTTTCTTTTTTCTTTTTCACAGTTACCTGGGCATTTTAGTTCATCTGTATAATCTCCACAGTCATTAGATCCATCACATATCCATTCTGGCAGTATACAAATTGAAGTTGAATTACAGCTAATAAATCCTGAAGATTTTACTCCAAGTTTATAGAAGTAAGCACAGTTTGTATTATCTGGAAAGAGACAATAAATTACTATTATCACACCTAATACAGATTGAGAGCCTTATAGTTTGGTTTTCAGGTTTAGCTTGAGTTTGCACAGACCATGCAGCTGTTGGTATCCAACTAGTAATGACTATGAATTAACTGCTGTATAACAAGAAATAATCATGGAACAGATGCTACGATGAAGCACAGACAAACACAAACTTACTACAGTTCTTTTCATCTGAAGCATCTGCGCAATCAATGATCTGGTTGCACTGTGCTGATTTACCAATGCAAATCCCATCTGCACAACGGAATTCTGTTGAAGCACACGTTGAATCTACAACATATGGTTATAAAAGATGTAAATTTGTGTACTAAACAGACTCTTCAGATGCATATTAAATGTATTGTGTTTAAATCTTCTGCATTTTAGGATAAGGCATTCAGAACACACTATACCTTCCATAACTAAAAATTCAATAGAAATATAAGGCCTAATAAACTTAAAAGCATAAGTTTCTGATTTTTAAATTTATTTTTTTGAGCCTAAAAGTCTCTCTCTAGGTAATTCAACTCAATTTGAGATAATCACCATGTGAGGAAGGAAGAAGGGAAGGAAGAAGCACTTTCAGGACCATCTATGAATCTCTCAGATTTCCTTCATGTAACACCAGGTTGGGGTTTTTGCTGTATGCTCTTCTCTCTACTCATATTCAGCTAAATGATTAAAAACCATGCAGTGCTTTCAAAAAAAATGCTAGTTACTACAGCTACATAGGTTTTAGCTATATATTGTGGGATAATTTCCCCTCCAATCTTTCTGAATTGTAACTAAGGATTTGTTTTGTCTGCTAGCTAGTCTTTATTCATTGGCTGATGCACAGATATAAATATTCATGTTTTAAGGCATAAAAAGAAAAACAACTCTGATATAAAAAGAAGAACGATTCTGGTAAGTTTTGCAAAGGACACAGACATTGCCATGCATCTGAGAAGCAAAGAAATGGAACACTAGCTACTTCAAAGAAGAAATAGTGCAGCAGATGCAGAAAAGAAATTGCCCATCTTTCAACCTTTCCGTCTCTGGTAAAGATACTCTCTCATTTATTGCTTCACAGAAGAAGCAGCAACTGCATTTTCTGAGTTTTCCAAAGCCAAAACCACTCTCCTTCTAGAGGACTGTAGGTGTAAACCAAAATCGGTCTTTATAACAATCCCAACATACGATCTCTCAAACATACCAGTGTGCACCTGCTTGTTTTTGAATTCTAACAAAACAAATCCCAGCACCTGTAATTCCAATAAACTTACATGCATTTTCTAGCTACTTCTATTTACATAGTAAGTATTTTCAGAGCAAGATTCTGAAATCACCTTGGAAGTAACTGTCATTTACCTTTACAGTCAAATTCATCAGAGTTGTCACCACAGTCATTTGCACCATCACAGACTTTGTTACTTGAAACACAGCGACGATTAGAACATGGCTTGAAACCCTTCCGACAGCCTCTATTTTCTGGGAAGTTAAGTCCAAGCACATAATTTCATTTAGACACTTGATATATAATAAAAATAGCCTTACATTAAAACCAGACAACCATACCAGAAAAACATTTCAAATGAAAATGCATTTGAAGCTACAGGAAAAACTTCAGAAACTGTTCATTTATTGTCCAGCAGAAGAAATTGGTCTGATAAACAGATAAAGAATAATAAACAAAACCACAATGAGAAAAAACAAAAGAATGACAAAAAATGGAAAAGGAAAGCCTAATTTTCATTATCTCGCGGTATAAAAAGCCCATGTGCTTTAAATGCATTTGTTTAGCCAAACTTTTGTCAGGCATATGACAATGTTTGGATATAGCATCAGTAATTCTATTATATAGAATGAAACATACCAAATTTGCCCTAAACCAAATTAGGAATAAATGGAGAGTAAAATAACAAAAAAATATTAGCAGAAAAGTTTCTGGATTTCTGAATACCAATACTGCAAGTGTTCCGCTCAAGTAGGTACACTATTGAACAATGTATGAATTTTACATATGTTGATATGTTTGAAAATTCAGAAATTATTTACTAAAGCCTTAACCATTGTAGAAGTCATGCCACAATAATAAATAAATAAAGTTAATTGAATTAGTTAATCAATAATAATGAGTCCAGCATCCTTTATTTTATTAGATTCAGAAAACAACATACTGTGTATGTCCTAGTGTGTGACAGAATCACAGTTGTTCCTGCTTTTTCCAATGTGTAGCAAAAAGTTCGGTACAGTTTTAATCCATATGAAATCTTTAATTAATCCATATGAAAATATAGCTCACTGGGTTTTTTGGTGGTGGTGTTGGTTTTGGTTTTTTGGATTTGTTTTTTTGAGGGGGGAGGGGAGAGTTGTGGTTTGTTTTTTTTTTTTTAATTACTTCTTATGTCTAAGCAAGGTGCATGCATAAATACAAATATTTACACATACTTAGTAAGGAAACCTAAGAAGGAATTCGCAGACATTAGTCATTTACTTTTCCGTGATTTGAAGCTGTCACTTGTAATTCAAGGGCCTTCCCCCCCTAGTAACTAGTTTTGTATATTCCAGATTCTTATTTCCTTGTCTGATGTGTTTTCTTTTTTTTCGGATTCAGACAAACAAATCTCCTTACTTATCTACATGTAGATGATCTGATGGAATGTTGCTATTAGTTTTACATGACATGATCAAAGCAATTATCACACAGAAGTCTGAAAGCTAACGGGGCACAAATCGAAGATGAAAGAAGAAAAAAAATTACATAGTATCAGTTACTATACTTAGATTGTTAGTGTTCATTTTTGTATGGAAAAAGAAAAAAGCAGCAAGCTATTCCATTTCTTTCTTTCCAGTATCAACCTTGGCTATTATTCCAGTATCAACCTTGGAGTTGGACTCAATAAGCCTTATGGGTCCCTTCCAACTTGAGATATTCTATGATTCTATTAAAATGGCAGAGGTGAACTCCAGGAATTAAAGCAGACTTTTTCATAGAACTATAGAGGTGGCAGGTATAAACATAATGGGTGCGTTTGAAATGACATGAAATTGTTCATAAGGGAAACGGAAGAGATACCAAGGCTGTGATATGAATATACAGAACAAGATAAAGGCCAAGAGTTACAGGCACACAGGTAATAACACGCAGATTTCACTTAACATGCGGGATATATGAATTCACTAAGGTGACTCAGTGATTTAGGAAAATTATTTGAACAGTAGTGTTTTAGACATTGCAGCAGGCAAAATCAGTTGGACACAAAAAACCTGGAATTGATTCAGTCAGTGACTATTAGGGGAAAAAAAAAAAAGGATAGAAACCCTTGGGAAAAATATGAAAGTAAAGAGCAGACACTTGTGTCTAACTTGTTGCAAGCTGCAGACTGATTGGTGGGAATAATAATGATATTATAAACTTAAACAGAAAATTGAGTGGAAGATTTCTATAACACAGTCATTTTGTATTTTATAATACTTCTATTTTGGTGTTTTCTATTCACAATCAGAGAAAATCTTATTAAATACGGAAAACTAAATCAAAATTGCTAAATTAAAGCTGAAAATACTCAATTTTTCATCTTTTAAAGAGGAGCTAGCTGAGGTTTTCCTTATTTTTGTTTTAGAGACAGAATTATGAGAACATTTGAGATGCTTTTTAAAAATGTAAGTCAGCTAATACGAGGAATATATTTTCCTCGCAAACTTTCAAATATAAGTAATTCTATCCTTACAACGTCAGAGTTTTCTTAATGTGCGAGTCGGCATTTTCTTCTTGTGCATCTTGGGAAGCAGTTGGTATGAATAAGTAGAAAAGTCACACAGGAACCAACATATGCATGTATAACTAAAATAAGAATGTGAAGGTGAAACGTCTGGAAATACTTACCGCAGTAGAAAAGTTTCTCATCAGACTTGTCCTTACAATGAGCAATGCCATCACAAGTCAGCTGATAATCAATGCATTCACCATTTCCACATTCAAACTCAGAATAAATGTTGCAAGTGGAATTTTTAGCTAAAATAAAACATATTAACATGTAATTTTTAATAGCTTTTACACTTAGTGAAAATGAGAAAAATGTTGGCTGAATTTAAAATATCTCCTACACAGTTTTTGAAAACCTAAATATAAAAAAACCCCACCATGGCATCAGAACTTAAAAGCTTCTACAGAGTGGTGGCCCGCAAGACTAATGTACTTCTCTGTAAATTTGTTGATATTATGCAGGATTGAGGACAGATATCAAAATAGCAAACAATTTTCAGAAATTTTATGTTGGGGTGAACTCCAAACGAAGGTAAGAGAGAGTCTGTAAAAAACAAAAATACATACCCAAATATCCATGAAGGAACATGTAGTGAAGCAACTTAAAGGCAGCGATTCTAATAAAATGATGACATTGTAACCACTGTGCTCAGCTATCCTCTACCCACTCATGCCTTTCCAAAAGCCCCAGCCTGTATGCAACCGTTTCTTAATAGATGTTTAAAAACCCCCCTTCAACATAATACATTGGAGAGCAAGAAGTAACCCTTACCATTACCTAGCAGGTAATTTGAACTCTCAACTCTGTTTTGTGGCACTGTGCTGCTGCTCAGTGTGTACACAGGTACCAGCATCAATGTACTACATCTGATGTTGAAGGTATAGCCTAACACCCAATGAAGAAAACCTGTGATTTGTACTTTACCTATTTCTTTTTATTCACAAAAAAAATCATTGGTAGACATATAAATTTTTTGTGTTCTCACCTTCTCAGAGTGGATGTTTTATCTATTATTTTAGAAGAGAACAAGCATATATATATGCTTTCTCTTGCATATAGATTTTCTGTTAGTTCAGTTAGAAACTAAAAAAGTATCCCAAAATTTACACAGAACAATTTGGTCATGAACTTTGTGATAGTACATTTACTTCATGTGTATGGTTCTAAACAAAATATCAAACTTGAGAAAAAGGAGAAATATATAGGACAATTCAAGAGCAAGAATAGGGAAATGATACCCAATTATCATGCTTTTTTCTTGTTTCCATCGTAATTACTTCAGCATAAATTCAGGAAGAACTGATGTCCGCTATATGCAAAAGTCAAGCCAATATAAATTGAAAACATTTCTTGATTTGATTCAAACATGAAGAAAAATATAAAAGAAGTGCTGAAAATATAGATTCTGGACAAGCTGAGATCTGATCTTGAATATCATTTATACAGTTGTTTAAATGTTAATCAAGTTTATCGCAGCATTTGTTCTTCTCTCTTTTTTCCCCCATTTTTTAGCATTGTAAGAACTTAGATGTTAGGAAAAGTCATTCTCAATTACATTTGTAGTTCATCTAGTTCAGCATCTTAGACTGCAGCCTTTAGAGAAAGATGGGGGGGAAAAAAAAAAAAATCAAAATGTATGTATAGTATAATCTGCCCTCAGTTAAAGTCTAACTGAAACCCCTTGTAGAGATTGCTTCAAACCCCAACTTTCAGAAACAAAGCACTTTAACACCTTCCAAAACAGTTTATTTGACTAGAAACAAGTAGTCTAGGTAGTCTTATTACCCATATAATCATCCAATCACTCTTTGAATTTTGCTGAAGCTTTAAGAATCTTGACTGGTTGATATAGTCTAATTACACTTTGAAAGGGCAGTTAATTTCTTTTATCAATTGGAATTGCTAACTTTCAATTTTATTGAGTATCCCTTTCAATTGTGATATGAAGAAAGAAACTTCTGATCTCACAGCTAAATTATAAAGTCTGTCTTGTTTCCATCCTTCCTGTGCTAATCAACCCCAACATTTAATGTCTAAGTCTTTCTTTTTTTTTTTTTTTAAACTAATAACTCAGATCAACATTTCCTGCAAACATTCTACAAAGTAATTTAGATCATGGTCTAGATGAGGATTTAAACACTGTTTTACCTAATAGCAATTTTAAGATTTGTAATGCTTTTTGAAAATATAAATGCTATATAATAT